GGCGCGGCGCGCACCAGACTCCGACGTATGTCCACTCGAGGTATGGCTATATTCCTATATAAAGAAAAAAAGGAAAAAAGGGGTGATGAGATCACGTAGTGATAGATGTGAGGAGCGAGGGGAAAAACGGGAGAAGTACATGCGTGTATAAGTGTGTAGGAAAGGGATACGTCCATGTCATGGGGGATTGGTGGTTCTGGGATCCATAGAAAGTCTGTTTAAGTAAAGAAAGGTCTGTGAGTAAAATAAAAGTCTGTAAAGTAGGAGGAAAAAGTCTGTGTGGTGTCAGGAATCCAAAGCGTGGATGTAAGACGATGCGGAACGCGCTGTTTGACCAAATAGTAAGGCTTGAATCAAAACAGGGTTTTTGCGGATGTAGATTTTGAAGGCATCTGAGGCCCATCTACCGATAGCTTGAATTATTGAGGGTGGTACCCCGTTTTCGGCGAGGGAAGTAGCGCCGCCGGCTCTGAGGGATTGACCGGCGGTGTCAGAGTCGAAGAAACGACGCAAGCGGTTGATGAAGAAGGACCGTGTAGGGACGACTCCGTTGCTAGTTAGCCAGAGGGGTGAGCTGAAAGGGAATTTGTTATCTCGTGCGTGGATGTATGCAAGGAAGTGCTTGTGAGGGTCGAAGATGCGTCCGTTTTTGCAGACTATGATGGTGTTCCCTTCGAAAAATCTGTCGGCCTTATGGCCAGGCAGAAAAAACTGAAAAGAAATGTCCGAGAAACGCACAGAGGTGCGTTTGGTGACTTTGCGAGGGTCACGAAGTTGCGGGTCGTCTGGGTACGTCATTTCGCCCAAACGGAATAAGGCGAAGAAGCCTGTGAGGAGTTGCGCTAGGAAGAGGATGTCGTCATAGTCAGATGAGTTGCCTAGTGCATGGACAACTGTCTCGAGGTCGTCAAGGGTCAGGGCACGTTTGCGTGTGGTTGGTGTTCCGTGTAAACGCCTGCAGCCCTGCAATATACGATGTACCAGAGCAGAGTTGCGAGCGGTACGTACATCGGGGAAATAGGGTTCGAGCTGTTGGCATATGCCAGACAAGTAAGTCGCGACTGAGCCAGGTTTGATGTGATGGCACATGTAGACAGTGAAAAGGCTGAGAGTGTCAGGGGTGGGGTCGAGTGGGAAGTCATGTAGTTTGACAAAATTCAAATAAGAGTTGAGGGCGGATCCGTAATTTTTCCACGTTGAGTTATCGACGGCTTGTCCGAGAGCGATGGCACGTTCTCTGAGCAGTCGTTCTCGCGACCAGGCATCTCTGTGGGGTTGCCTGGTGCGCACGGTGGCAGGGATCATTTTTTGGGAGCCCCCAGCAGCAATTGAGGGGGTAGAAAGGGTGAAATGATGAGGTTGGGGACATACTGATGGGCAATGTCAAAGTTATGTCTTGAAATGGCATCAGCAACGCTGTTGAGTTCTCCGGCAATATGCAGGACTCTGAGTTGTATATTGAAGTTGATGCAGGCGTCGGCTGCATTGATGAGAATTGAATTATAATGGGGGAGGCATCTGAGCGTGTTGAAGATGGCGACGGTGTTGTCGTTGTCCGTGTAAATCAAGATCTTGGTTGTTGGGGGAACACAAAGGACATCTACAACGTGGTGCATGGCTGACAGGACACATAAAGCCTCAAAGAAGAAGATGTGTTTGTCGGTGGTGCCGTCGGGTGTGGGTGAGTAGAAACCGACGCAATCGTCAGGTAACCAGAAACCCATACCTTGTAAACAGGCATCACAAAAAAGTGTCAAGTCGGCAGAATCTGCGTCCCAATAAATCTGATGAATGAGTTTGACGCCAGTATCGCGTTCAAGGTGATTAGCGGCCCATTCAAGGTCAGCGCGGACAGCATTGTTAACTCTCACGAATTGATTTGGGGCAGATTTGCCACCAATCTTCGCGTAAAAATTGTTCAGTGCGGGCCTCAGTAGGGGGAAGACGTTCAAGCTCCAATTGATCCATCCTGCCAATCTCTGCCATTCACGGAGCGTGAATTTGTGCTGCTAGAGATGAATCC